AATGAATTGATGACCATTGAATTGATTTTGTATGAGATTATATATACCTATTAGAGATGCCAATCCCGCGATCTCGGTGTTTTTCACGAGCCCCGTAGCGTCGCTAATATAAACGAAACAGAAAGTTTTAAGGAAAAGTTACATAAGCTTTTAAATCAATCTACTCAAACTGCTTCAAATCGAAAACCTTATAATTTATCCGACGTGCTGGTAAAAGAAGTTAAAATGTTTAGTAATGGAGGAAATATCCTAAAATGGCGTATGATTACCTTTCAGCCGACAATTATTGAGGCCGACAGATGTTTTTCATCAGCAGGTTTTTTATGTAACAAGGTCAGGTCAAAATTACGGAAACAAATTTCGATACCATATCGATACCGTTAGATTTTGATACCGATATTTTCTACTCGATAGTACTAAAACGATATTTTTTGGAATCGAGTACCAGAACCCTTTGAGTAACCAATTCTTGTCGTTGTAAATTGGACTTTAAAGAGCAGAAATTTGAATTATAGTTAAGATTGCATGTGGCGGGTTTTGAGCCCGCGGCCTCGGTGCTGTTGAAGTCAACACCTCAATCTCTACGTATTGTAATAACCAGGGAACGGATTTTTAGGACCTAAAAACCTATAAAAAAGACAAAATAAAATAATGAAATAGGCCGGAAAAGGCAAAATAAAATAGCGAAGAACTACTAATAACAATAATAGATTGGCGCTTACATAATATATTAGTGTTTGACCGAGGTTCTCCTCCGATTTGTCGCGTACGCCTTACTGTTGTTCTAAAAAGGGGGTCCATACAGTTTTATATCGACTCTGAATAGCTTTTGCATTTTTATGGCAAGCTTTTTTCATTTTCAAGTGGCCTATATACGAGATCTATATTCAGATAAATTTTTTTGGATTTTGGTATCGATATTTTGAATACCGAGTCTTTTTATTCTGATAATAATGGGTACCCGATACTTATAAAACGATACTTTTAATGACTACCATATCGATACTTTAGGTTGCCAGAACCTTTTGGTCGAACCGGCTAAATTGGCAAATAAAACCGGCTAAAAACGGCTAAAATGTTTCAACTAAATTTCACATGTTTTATTTAAATAAATCACGAGTAAAAAGACTATTTCTTGGAGAGGAGTTACAAATTCGATCCGGAAAAAATTTTGCCAGCAAGAATTTGCAATTAGGAAAAACATATGGTTGTGGCGCATGGCTGGATTTTTTGTCGACGATAATTTGAATAAACAAGTTCGTTAAATTTAAAAATTTACAAACTGGAGCGATTTTAAAATGAAAAATGTAAGTTAATACTTGTTTACTTAATTAATTTAGTTAATTCCAATGATTTGAAAGGTACTCGGCAAAAGAAAAACTGTATTCTTAATCGGAATGCAATCTCAACCAGAGTCGATATAGTAAACCCGACAAAGAAATTGAAACGTATATTGAAGAAAGTCGGACTGACAAGACATATACACGTAGATCCTGTTGTTTGCCGCTCTGAAAGAATTTTAAAAATTCTATACAAATTTATTTTGTTTGAAATGCAACCGTGGACACTAGCTAGCAGAAAAACTTGCAAATTTGCGTTCGTACAGAAAATTGCAAGTTGATCTACATGAGAGAGAATTTGGGAGCATTTTTTCTTACTATCTGCTATTTTGAGTGATAATTCTCGCTGGATTTTCGACGAACAAACCTATTGTCTTCCCTACAAGGCCTTTTCAGACTGACCGACTCTCAATACACTCAAATAGAAACCAATACACATAAAAAACGCTGTAAAAATTTCCCTTCAATTTTAAGGCAGTAAAACAACGTCCTTAAGTTAACATCAACCGAGGCCATATGTTGACAAGGGATGCAAAATCACAGTTACATAAAAGAACTGGTCAGATTTTTTAGAAATCCCTTCAATTCTGATGTAAAATATGATGACAAAAGACTGCAGATCTCCCATTTAGATGACCGGTCATATGACCGGCAGATGTCTCGTAGGATTCCCAGAGAGTTTTGCTTTACATAGAAATTTGTGCTCTTTTATTTTCATTTTGACTCACTTCAGTGTTGGTTCCTTTAATTCTAGTTGGCATTCGGTTTTTGGAATTTAAATAACTTCTCAGCAAAAATGTTTGTTTAAAAAAATACATATGTGTATATAGTGCTTGAAAATATCAATTTTTCCCTTACCTTAAACCTTTGGGAGTGGGCAAAAATGATGTTTTGTAATTTAGGCAGAATTGAATATGCGCTTATCTGGGAGGACAATATCTACATGTAATATTTATTCTGTTTGTTGGCACTATATCCAATCTCAAGAGTCTTAACAGTGAAACAATTTCTTATTTTCTAGGTTTGCGAATAAATCTTCACACTTAAAATTAAGACATTTATAACAAACATTTTATGGAGAAAACCTCTTCTTCGTTTAAAATAAAAATATGCGAAATCGGCCCAATTTCATAAAATCCTGCCTGACATGAAAATTTTCTCCACGATTAGGCTAGTAGCCATTTCTAACAGATTTTGGGCCGCTTAGTCAAAAATGGAAACATATATAATACAATTTAAAAATATGTGTTACTTTACGATTTGTCT